GTGAGTATTTATACGTTTTGTAGGCGTATAATGTACAATGTAATAGAGAGTTTATATTGCACCTATGTCTGTATAAACTGAATGTAGAGTAAACGTCACAGAAAGTGGAGCCGAAGAGCAGAGTTAAAATTCTAATCATGTCTGTTGTCTACATCGTACAAGTACTTCTTCTCTCACGATAGTTATGGGTTAAATAGTTGTAACCAGTCTTAGAGAATGACAACTCAGAATAAAGAACCATCGAGAAGACAATGGAAAACCACTCTATTACTTCTTCCGAAGAAGTTTTGACAATTCAGATATTAAAGAAAAGGCAGCTGTGAAGAGCTATTAACACCTATGTCCTGAAAGTAAATTACCATATAAAATATCTACTGAGCGAACAAATTCTCTAAAGTATGTCTTCTGTCGTTTGACATTTTAGACTTTTTACATGACTTGTATATAACATACACACACACACACACACACACACACACACACACACACACACACACACACATATATATATATATATATATATATATATATATATATATATATATATATATATATATTTAGAATTTTATAGACACAATTATACTTTGGGTGTCTGTGGAAGAGCGATGATTAGGAAGATAGCTTGGAAGACTGATCCTGCCGTCATGGACATAGTGGGTTGCCTAATATTGTGAATTTGACAGAATAAAGTAAGTTTTCTAAATATTTACCTAAACTTACACAAAGAAGTGAGTATAAATGTAGGACCGACGAGTAATTCAGTCAGACGAAGTCTTTTATTTAAAGTAGCAAATAAACGAAAAAAGTATAGTATCCTTAAGTTATTTCTGGGTATTAAAATCAAATAAATTCCATTGATCAGTGATCTGTTCCCCCACGTAGGAAAGGTGCAGTGTAAGATTCAATTTTTACGTTAATGGCTGAGAGAAGTGAACAATTTCTGGAATAACCACCACAAGACTTTGAGCTGTCTGTGTACCTTTTTCTAAAAAGACCATGAATTGTTTCTGTCCACGTTGACTCATAAATAATCCTCAGATCGGTGTAAAAAATCTTCGAATTGTCCAGTGAAAATGACAGAACGAAATATGGGGTCTATAGAAAAGTAGAATGATTATCAATAATTGTATTAAATGCAAAGAATTATGTAAAGTAAATAGGAATTATAAATGTCAGCGCCTATAGGGAAGTCTACATTGACAAAGTTATTTTTTTTGTTTCCTCTTAGAGAGAATTTGATTTAGTTAAGAAAGACAGCTGAAAACCCCAGGTAAACTGTAAATGAGATTCGTTATTTGTGTTAATTATTATCGGGCATAAGGTTCAACACATTTTCGTATTTGAAATAATATACGCAGCCTTTGGCTTACGGCACTAGTAACACTTTCGCGAAATAATAATAATAGACAGAAGAAAATATAGTATTAAAATAATTAAGATGGTGATAAGGAAAAAATATGAAGAATCATAATTATCATCATCATAGTAATTCGAAGTAAAGAATGAAATAATACAGTAAGTAACGAAAAAATCGAAATATTGTACATCTTTATGTGGAAAAGAGAAGGACATATATGGCTCATTCACATTGAAGAATGTGTTCATTTGGCTATCAAAGGACTTGTGAGCTAAATACAACAGACTGATGAAAGATTATATTAGCTAGAAACCGCAATAAGGTTAACAAAATGACAAATGTTTGCGTCAGAAAACTATTTAAAAGTGGAACATAGAAATAAAGCAACTCCACTGAGACTTCAAGTAACAATCAAGAAAAAATTGGAGACGAAATGAGACATGGTTAAAGCTGCACAGAGAACACTTGAATAGAGAAACACAATCCCTATTAATTACAGCCAACAACAAATGGATTAGAACAAAGTTTATTATGACAAACATAAAAAAGAGAGCGGTCTAATAAATGTTACCTCTAGAAATAAATAGATAGAAAAACGAAAGGAGGAAACTTGAAGCAACCGAGATGTGCTTCTACATGAAGATGTTGAGAATATCACGGGCAGAACATGTAAGCAACGAGAAAGTTTTAAGGAAAATGGAAACAAAAGTACACTTGTGATTAGAACTAGAAAGAGGCAGTTGAAATTTCTAATTTTCACATAACGAGAAAATAGGAAATATTGGTGAATTTGACACTCATAGGACACGCTGAAGGCAAGAAAGGCAGAAGGAAACAGCGAGTAACCTATCTAAAGAGCTTGTGTAAATAGATGACAATAGAGGGACTCTGAGATATGGTAAGGAGACAAACATTACTTTATGCTATAAAGGATAGGAAGTTGTTGAGAGTCCTGATCTCTTATGTCCCGTAAAAGGTGAAACTATCACAGGTATATGTAGAAAATTCGCCAAGTTGACGTAGGGTGTGGAAGATTAAAGGTAAACGTAATGTGTTTAGGGACAAGTCATACGATTTAATCACGACTACTGAAACTACACTGGAAATTGTCGTGTATTATTATTCTTTCTGTGTCTGTTTCTGGAGTGTTTGCTTCCACCGATTCCAATATGTCGTTTTTGTGGCATAGTAATATAGTTTTCTGGCACTGAGAGAATATTCTGGCAAAATGATTGAATCTTCTGGCAGAATTATAGATTATTCTGGCAGAGTGGTAGAATATTTTAGTAGAGCGTGCATTCTAGCAGAGTGATAGAGAATTCTAGTAGAATGTTACAGCATTCAAACAGAATGACAATGTGTTATAAAATAGGACAACTACGTCTAGTTTTGCGCCAGAACAAATAGCTATGTTTACGTGCATTCACGTACACATATGGATATTAGTAGTAAAATTTCCTTTAAGAGCTTATTGTTGTAAAGTAGCTCTTTTCCTTCTTTTTTGTATCTTTATTTAAATTCAAAATTACAATATGATAATATTTGGCATCAGACACCATTATGTGTGAGACGGTGATACCCGTAATAAGTGGGATTCTTGAGCATATTTCACGCTGCATCCAAACAAATTCAAGCAAAGAGAATTTTGCAGAGCAAGGCTTTCTTTGGCACAAGTTCAAATTTCGTAATCACGCTGTAAGTCATTAACCTTATCGTTAATTAATTTTTTTTTGCAAACAGTAACTGGTCCAATCTATGAATAAACAAGAATATGAAAAGAATGACAGGGAAAAATCAACTTACAACACTAATGAGATAGACAAGAAATGAAGCGAGGGTCTAACGTCAATCATTAGCAGCAGTAACAAGTATTCACTCTCATATAAAAATAATGACATAACGACAATGATAAGAATATGATCAACAAAATAGCACAAAAAACAATATCATTGTAATATTTATTTCATCCAGATGAACATGTGCAAATTCAGTAGGTGAACTAAAATATAATTTTCGTTTATATACTTAGGAAATTGCTTCTAGAGTATGTGTGTATGTATGTTATATATAAATTTATTTATATAAAATTAATAAACAAAATGAATAAAAGGAAAGTTGGATTAGAAAGAAAGAAAGCGTAGGGTAATATTAAGAAAAACAGAAAAATCAAACAAGACATAAAGAAAGCAAGAAAGAAAGTGCATGGTAATATTAAGAGAGAAATCAAGTAAGCAAACAAGAAAGAAACTGTAGAATAATATTAAGAAAGAAAAAGATAGATTAACACATAAGATTGCTGTGACACTCGAATGATAGATTCTTTAGTGGTATCGGTTGAACAAGGATTATCGATTTCAGTTCAGTTTTCAAAGCGAAAAGAGCGTAAATGTAAACAAACAGAATAATCCTAAAATGCTATGTCCCTGCAGAACTCTCTGCAGATTACTTTTCTTTATTATCTGTGAATTGTTACGCACTCTTGGGAACGGTGGTGAAGTGGTTTCCTGTTGTCTTCATGATTTGAAATTCAGTTTTCTTTCTCACAGAGTGGATACCACTGAAGTCTAGAAATCCCATCCTATCATACTATTTAACCAATAACTGGTGGTAAAATATAAATTTACGCCTTTCCCAAGGATATTAATGAGAGCGTGAACGTAACAAGATAATACAATTATTTACTGCGACAGTAGATGCATGAAGTTATATTTTTCATTGGAAATAATTTTTCAGCATCAAAGAAATAAAATACCTTCACTCCTTTATAATGTGCTATCGAATATATTCCCGTTATAAATGAGGTGATAGTTCTCTCTTGTATATGTGAGTATAAATACAAATATTCAATATAATATTGAGTATTTATTGCATACAAGTATTGGTTACTAGGTTGTTGTCTATAAAAAAAGACTGAAGCTGCTTAAGAATTTCCGATTGATGCTCAAGAAACAACTGATAAATATCAATATTAGGAATCCACTATCATCAACTGAATTATGTACATGCGGAAGGCTGAAGAATGCGCCGGCTATAATGCACTCGTCGGATAAAAATAAGATCCTGTTGCAATGAAACAAGGGCAAGACATTTTGAGAATTAAAAATAACTTGAAGAGTTTCCATAATTGAAAAGAGCCAAGTTGTTTTAGTTGTAAAACATTTTAGTTATATATCGAGTTAATGGATTTTTATTTTTAATCCGGCATATTTTTATTGCTTTAAACGTATTTAAGTATAACCTCCCATTTTAAACAGACCATCTACTCATATATGTGTCTCCACTCAAAATAACGTTTGAAGTAATAAAATACGTTGGATTCAAATTAAAAATCCATTAACTCTTTAGAAATTTCTTTCTTTAAGGTTTGAATACGAAACTAAGCAGGAAAAAAAAAACTCCGAACAACATGTTGTTTTAAAACAAACAGAATATTTTACTTAGCTATGAGTCTATATAGCTGAGTGGTCTAAAGGTCATTAGGTTAGACGGGGATTCATTCTACGAAGGGAGAATCCTGCTGTGAGACACATTTTGATTATTACGCTTTCTCAAATGAGCAGGCCAGTAGACGAAATAAACACTATTTAAAAAACGGTCCGTTCAAACATCTGTATTCACTAAAAAAGGACATTTGAAGTAATAT